ATCTATTTATTGTGTCACCAACAACCAAATTTTGCATATTCTAAATTTTCATTTGCATTTGCAGCTGTCGCTGAAAGCATTCCCACGAGGCTACTGCTATGCTAAATTTATCTAATAAACTATAATTGAAATAGCTGTATAAGATATGTTATGAATAATAAGCACTACGTCGTTACATCGTTAAAAGGCGCATTTTATCCTCATCCGTTCCGTATTTTATCCGCATATCCGTTCCGTGGATCCACTCCATCCGCTTCCGCATTTTAACTTAATTGTGACATGTTTCCAAGTTTCATTGACCTTTGACTTTTCCCAGTGTGACGTGTGTCTATTTTGGGAGTTAGGTAACATCGAGTTGGATTCGAGTTCGAGTTCGATTTCGAGTTGGACTTCGAGTTGGACTTCGAGTTGGACTTCGAGTTAAACTTCGAGTTGGATATTTTTCTTTACTTTTCGGGAAAATGACAATTGTATTTCACCCAACCTTTTTTGCTGCGGGCGAGCGAGACTGAACCAAATTTACACATGCGGGGGAATTTTATCTTAAACCATTGTTTACCGCAGCTGTAGGCCTACATTGTGGTCGTGCGCGATCGGAAATGCTCAGTAACCTTTTTGTCGGTTGTGCTTCCATAACATCTTCTGGTAATTTTGAGTTACAGATTACAGTTACAGATATTGCACCCTGCACACTCCCTATATCAGGGTTTTTCAGTGACTGGCTATATTAGGACCCCGGAACTGGCGTGGAGCAGACCGGGGTACTGTGATCTTACAGATAGCGCTTTAAGCAGCCGCTATTAGTCCGTACCTTATTAATGAATAATGATCTGCCCCCTGACCTGACACGGGTTTACGCACAATTTTGAAATGTTATAATAAATCTTTTTACAGAGATACCTTTCTCATATCATGTACCTCATTAGGGGCTGATTACATGGAGCATTTTCAACCCCGGGGTTGAACTCAGCCCTGGGTTGAAAATTTTGTCATGTAATCGTTTCAACGCAGGGCTGAAATTATCATGAGTTATTCGAGCATACGTGGTAGTGATTATTTATTACAAGAAAACAAAATAAATCTCTGAGTTCAACCCCGGGGTTGAACTCAGCCCTGGGTTGAAAATTTTGTCATGTAATCGTTTCAACGCAGGGCTGAAATTATCATGAGTTATTCGAGCATACGTGGTAGTGATTATTTATTACAAGAAAACAAAATAAAGGCTTTTTTACTTCCGGGAATCGATGCCGAGAACGTATAGTATAGC